TTGCAGTAGCAGAGCAGCAGGGCCACATTCAAAGCCTGAAGTGGACACTGTTATAGTGGGAGGTGGTGGCCATTACCCAGGTCCCTCTCAGCTGCGCTCCTTGGGCTCCACTGCCTGCAGACTGCTCTATGCCTTGCCTTCTATGTCGGCTTCTGTCTTGGATGTCCCTGGGGCCAGAGCCACTTGGGAGAGCCCCAGGGTTTTGAAATGCTTGAGACTTTCTGGCGGGTTGGACACTGCGGGCTTGGTCCTCAGCAGTGGGCGTTTGCCAGCTGGGCAGGTGTCTGGCTTTCTGTCCTTTGCAGCCCTTCCTGGGAAGCAGGGCCCTGGTGGCCTCCTGGGGGATGTGGGGCCATGTGCTTCCTCCTCATCCTCAGGGGTAGAGTCCTGGTCACCCTCCTAAGCCACACCTTGGGCTGTAACCCTTTGGCTTTCTGTTTTCTAATGTCAGTCTCAAATTCATGTTGCAAGGGTCTAGAGTTTTCCGTTACATTGACCAGGAATGAACGCTCTCCGTTAGAATGCATTGCTTGCTAGGAGCCCATTCTTGTCTGAAGAAGGGCAAGCTCAAATTCCTAGGGGAGAGGATGCTATATACTGTAAATACTCCTTGTCATTTGTGCTAGTCAGCTTCTCATGACTGTGACCAAAATACCCAACACAAACAACCTGCAGGAGGAAAAGATCTATTTGGGGGCAGGGTTTCCGAGGTCTCAGTCATGGTCAGCTGGCTCTGATGCCTGGCCTGAGGTGAGGCAGAGGTCATGTGGAGGAAGGCTGCTCACCTCATGGTGGGGAAGCAGAGGGAGACAAGGGAGAGAAGATGACCCCTTGTAGGGTATGGGCCAGGGACCAGCTTCCTCCCTACCTCCTACCTCCCAGGCATCCAGGCGGTCATCACTGGGGTGATCCCCTGAGGAGGCCAGCGCCTCATAATCCAGTCACTTCCCCCAATCCTACCTATGAACCCATGGGGCTATGGGGATGTTCAGGTCCAAACCATAACGTCGTGGATCTTGAGCAGGCATATTTGGTGTAGAATGGAAATCATGAAACACAATGGACTATGAAAGTGAATCTCAAAACACTGTGCAAATGTGAGTTTTAATATATAATAAATGTAACTCCCATTTTCCCAGGAGTTCATGTTTAAAATTTATCCCTGGTTACCACAGGTTTGAAGATCATGGATAATGTTAGTCTTTCTTAATTGTTTTGATTTTTCCTATAAATACCATTACTTTGTATATAAAAATAAATGAGATTGAGTCATTTTAAGAAAACAGAAGCAGACTACCAAGCAACTAAGCTCTGGTGAAACCAAGCCAGGCATGTTGGATCAGGCCTGTAGTCCCAGCTGCTTGGGAGGCTGAGGCAGGAGGATCACCTCAGGGGCCAGACTTGGCAACAGCCAGACCTGTCTCTAAATAAACAAACAAATCTAAAATATATATGTGTTCATTTGTAAGTTCTACAGAACCAGAACTGGTCGTCTTATATGCCAGGAAGGAAAAAGCAGACCAACCAACACGTCCCAAGCACACCTGTGTACTTGGTCCCTCCGTGTCGCCTCTCTGCATTGGACCTGAGAGCTGGGCCATGGAGAGCTGTGTGGCCAGGCTCCTGCATCAGGCCCACTGGACAGACCAAAATGGAGTTGCTGGTGCTGATTTCCACCTCCCCAGGTAGGAAGAAGCTAAGCCATGCCTCTGGTCACCGGGGAAATCAGGAGAGAGGCATCATCAAAGCTCAACAGGCCAGGTTCATCTGGGATATGCGGAGTCCCCTCAGCTTTCACTCATTAAAGGATGAACAGCGTTTTGCTGTTTCTGCTTCCTGGAGCCCATCTCTGCCTCTAAAGCCAAGGCCTCTGCTCGGCTCATGGGAAGGCTCCTGCCACATTGTGAAAGAAGGTGTTGCCATTTACTTGGACACTGCTTATTCTTTTATGTTCCCTGAGGAACATAAAAGTTTGCTACCACCCTCTCCTACTTCCAGAATCACAAAAGGCCACAAGTGAGACTGTGGAGCTTATGAAATCTGTGGTTTTGCTTACGTATTTGTCAGGCTGCTTACCAAGATGAGGACTTTGTTAAAAGAATGTTTGCTTTGTGGGAAAAAAAAATGGGAGGAAGATTAGATGAGAGAAATAAGATAAGGTGGCTGGGCGCAGCAGGTGGGCTGGGAGTTTGCCTGTGGGAGCTCTGAAATGGGCTCAGCACTGTGACATTCACACTGTCTGGTTTTACTCCTGAATGGAGTATCCTTTTGTGTGTGCTGGGGACGACTCTGGGACACTGTGATACCCAAGTCAGTTGCAGCTCACATTCTATAAGAACCTGGACAGCCTCCCCTGTGCTTTGGTCATCTTCAGATGACCTGTCAGACCAACAGTAATGCTGTCAAGAGGCGTCACACCCCATATTGTTTGGTGAATAATAAGAAATAGGTCTGCGCCTGTTCAACAGACACAGTGGAAAACAGCGTCCACCCATGTTCGTTGAGCCTGCACAGGCTGAGGGCTGACATGCACACTTCTCTGTTCCTTTCTGGTGCCTTTAGCGTGTAAGCACATGCTCTCCCACCGAGCTACCCCCAGCTCTGTACTGGATATTCTGATTCAACTAACTAATGCATGGAACTGGAACATTTTATCTTCAAATCACCTCCTCAGGTGAGACAGTTCACAAACTCAATAAAGGTTAAGTGACCCCCTCAGCCACCTGACTGTGAGACCACCTCCCTGCTCCAGTCTCCCTTCCCAGGTCTGAGTTCCCACTCCCAGCTGCTCTGTAAACCCTGGGTACTTGTAAGGGGCCTTGAGTATCAGACAACTTGAGGTAAAAGCAGAAGAACCCCTTTTAAAACATGTTTTTATTAGCGTGTTCTAGTTCTACAGAGTGTGGTTCATTGTGACACAATCAAACATGCAGAGAATTTAATTAACTCTAAGTCAGCCTCTAGGACCTCCACTTCCTCCCCTGCGCCCCCCTGTCCCCTCCTCTGGTCCACTTGTTTATTCTTTTCTTGTTTGTTAGGTTGGAGCTTCATAGACATACATGTGAAGTCCTCCCTGGAATATGCGCACAGGACAGAGCACAGCACATCATGGCCCGCTAGCTTCACTCCACACTTCTCCCCACTCAAGCTGCTTCCTCTACTCCATCCATCTCCCCTCTATTTAGTGGGACCGGCCCTGCTTCCCTTTATTTTGTTCTAGCTTCCGGATATGAGAGAAAGCGTCCAACCCTTGATGTTCCACTCAGCATGACGACCTGCCTTTCCCCCACTACCAGCCGACATCATGATTTCCTTCTTCTTTATGGCTGTGCAGAACTCCACTGTGTATGGGTGCCACATTTTCTGTGTCCATTCATCTGCTGACAGGCTCCTGGGCTGGTTTTGTAATTTGGCTGTTGTGAACTGAGCTGCCATAAACATTGAGGGGCGGAAAGTGGAACTACCACATGACCCAGCCATCCCACTCCTTGGTATTCATCCAAAGGGAAACATTTTTGATGGTGCTGCCTAGGTGCAGACAGGCAGATGTCTCATGAGGATACTCTCGCTGCTGCAGGTTGGGGGGCCTCTAGGTACCTCAATACACATAGGTTCCTGGGTAGCACACATTGGGGGAGGGAAGCTCCTGCCCTTCCCGCAGGCTTACACCATGCACGTCTCCATCCGTAATACCCTTTATAGCAAACCAGTAAGCATCAGTCAAGAGTTCCCCGAATCTGTGAGCTGTTCTAGAAAATTAACCAAATCCAAGGGAACCCAACTATGGCTGGTCACTCTAAAACAGGTACACCTGGGGCCTGTGATTCGCATCAACTTGAGGGATGTCTTGGGAACTAAGCCCTCATCCTGGGTGGATAGTGTCAGAGATGAACTGGCTCAGAGGACACCCAGCTGGTGTCTGCTGCAAAAACTAGAGAACCGGGCGATGGCTTGTGGTGGGAGAAGTCCTCACACTTCTTGGTGAACAGAGGTCACAGAGACCTTGTGTTGTGTTGTGAGAGTAGGGTGGGAGGAATCAAGTTTGTTTTCCTCTACATTGCAGAGTGGTTGAGGGAGTTTTTATAATTTTTCTTCTGAAAGGGAGACAGAAGCAAATGGATAGGATAGTCCAATACAGACCCTCAGTGCAGGACAGAGATGAGTCCTGAGAAGGTAAAAGGTGTAGAGTTCACGGCATGAGGAGAGGAGGTGTCTTCAGGAAGAGCAGGTTGTCTTCATGAGGAAAGGGGGTGTCTTCAGGAAGAGCAGGGTGTCTTCATGAGGAAAGGGGGTGTCTCCAAGAAGAGCAGGGTGTCTTCATGAGGAGAGGAGGTGTCTTCAGGAAGAGCAAGGCGTCTTCATGAGGAAAGGGGGTGTCTTCAGGAAGAGCAGGGCGTCACCAAGAGGAGAGGAGGTGTCTTCAGGAAGAACAGGGCATCCTCATATGGAGAGGAAGTGTCTTCAGGAAGAGCAGGGCATCTTTACGAGGAAAAGGGGTGTCTTCAGGAAGAGTGGGGCTTCTTCATGAAGAGAAGAGGTGTCTTCAGGAAGAGCAGGGCATCCTCATTAGGAAATGGGGTATCTTCAGGAAGAGCAGTGCATCTTCATGAGGAGAGGTGGTGTCTTCAGGAAGAGCTGGGTGTCTTCATGAGGAGAGATGGTGTCTTCAGGAAGAGCTGGGTGTCTTCATGAGGAAAGGGGGTGTCTCAGGAAGAGCAGGGTGTCTTCCCTGCAACAATGGGAACCTGGGGCTGTGTGCAGGAGGCAGACAGACAGAGGCATTTATCTCCCTAGTGAAGTGGGAGGTAGGTTATCACTGCTGCCTACACCTCACTGCCCAGCCCTGGTCAGGCCAACCCTGTTTCTTTCTGGGACCCTGAGACAGCCTCCTGCCTGACCTTTCTGGTGTTCGTTTGCCTTGCCTGCCCTAACCCCCAAACTTAGTTTCAGGTAACAGAGGAGGTGTAATGCAGCGATCTCAGTGGGGTGCTTTTTCAAGAGTGGTCTATTTCCCTGTCCCCTAACTCCTCAGGAGGAAGTTCTTCAATCCAAGGTCTGGGGACACTGCCTAGTAGTCATGTCTCTCCCTGCCTATGGCTTTGTGAACGCCCCCTGACCCATTCAGCTGTCCTTCAGGAGCCCTCGTGTTCTCATAGCCCAAGCTCTGGGCATCAGACACCCAGCTCCCTCCAGTCACTCTAGGATCCACTAAAGCCAAAGTTTCAGAATGTCTGGGGTGAGTGGGTCCAGAGTCTGTGGGAAGCGGTCTTTTAAATACTGAAACTCAAGGCCTTCAATGTCTATCGCAGACAAATCCAAGTTCCATAACACAGCCTTGTGGACACCTCTGCTCTTCCCAGCTTGGCTCCAGACTCCTTCTGTCCTCACCCAGAGATATGCCCGTCTATGGCCTTTTGGGTACCGCAGTACCTCTGCGGGACACACTCCTGCTCCCTCACCTTCCAGTGGGAGCTGACCCCTAGTGACACGTCTTCCCAAGGCCTGTTCCCACCCACAGATCCGACGCCACCCAGCTACAGCCCATCCCGTGTGGACTGGCTGGCCTCCTCAGGTAGTGTGCAGCCTGGGGTGGAGACAGCCCCAGCCCACTGTCCCAGGTTCCTTCCTGGCACCCCTCAGGCCTGGTGCTCTCAGTCTTGGTTCACGTTTGTTATGACAAAAACTCCAGTTTTGACACTTCCCTTCAAATCTAGCCAGAATTTCTCTCCCCCATCTCCCAGTCAGCTTAGGTTCTGCTCTTGGGAAGTGCTACCCTTGAAGGGGCAGAAGAGGAGAGAGAGCTGCCCGAAGAAATCTCAGCTTCAGCCACAGTGGCACCACTGATAGCCCCCTGTATGCTGAACAGGGTGGAGAACAAGGCCTCCCTTCATATTTTAGGGCAATGTTTCCGTCCTACAAATATTTTTTTTCCCTATCCTAAAATTTTTTAAAAAGATTGCGCAAACCACAGGGCTTCCTAAAGATCATCAGCATCACGTATATAGCCTTCCCCTGCCCAATTTCCATGATTTAATCCCATTTACAAAGGACCTGCATGATACTTGCAGTGTGGACTGTTCATCAGGTGCTGCCTACTGGACCTGAGCCATTCGGAAGGCTCCCCAGCACTTGGTGTCTTCTGATGTCCCTACAGCGTTGTCAGGATGGGGGAGTGAATGGCATTTCACCTTAAACATTCCCATCTCTTCAGGGTCAACTATCTGGAAAATTAGCCACACATTTCTCTTCTGAAAACTGAGTTCAAATATGAATATGCTTGGTACAGAAGATAAAGACCTTCCACAACTCTGAAGTGTCCCACCCCAAAGATCTGGCTGCTTACGTACAAACTGTCCTGTTGTTATTTTGCTCTTCCACTTGCCAAGGAAACTCATCACTGAGGGGAACAGACCACTGACACAGAACAACGTGTAGAAATTAGAACACTTTATTATAAACATTTCCAGAATATAAACTGATTTTTTATTGAGACTCTTCAAAACTTTTAAAACTATATGAAACATTATCTTACTATTATTATATTTATTTTCCACTTTCCAACCTAGAAAATATGACATTAGAGCTAACAAAGGAAAAAAATCTAAATTGCTGCATAGAGAAAAATCAATCAACTTAAAAAAAAATCCCACTCAAAACTAAAACAATCCCAACCAAGAAACAGATTCTGCAAAGTCTATTCATCCTCAAATTTAAAATAAATGATCTCCCAAGGGAAATAATCCCATCCTAGCAGTTTGATGAATAAAAGCAGAGTCACTCTCCTAAAGAGAAACCCATCGTGTAAGAACAACATAATAGTGCTTTTAGAAAAGGAGAAACGGTGACTCCCCCTTGGGGAGCAAGCACACGAAATGCTGCACGTCTGTGGCCTGGTAGGAATCTAACAGGGCCTGATCACAAAGGAAGCCCTGTGCATACCAGCACCATAACCAGCTCTGCAACCCTGTCTTCAGCGCCACCTGGGAGGACCAGCGCCGGCGCTTGCTTCAGAACCCGAGGATGGACTGGTCCCAGAGCATTTCCTCCTCGGTCCTCTCCTGGCCTTGGTCCTTGCTGGCTTTTCTGTGCTTGCGGCCCTCTTTCCTCGAGGCCGCTCGGCTCTTTCTCTCCTTCCGGCTCTTGGGCTTTCTTGCACTGACCTGTGTGGCTTCTGTCTCCGTCTCCACCTTTGCTTTCTTTCTTTGGATGCTCCTGTGTCTGCCCAAACCCAGTTCCTCAGAACCTCTTTTCCTACGGTGCTTGGGCTGCTCCTCCTCTGCCTCCTCTCCAACCTCCTCGGGGTGCCTTTTCCTCTTCTGATGCGCCTGCTTGTGGCCGGCTGATCGGTCGCTGGGGCTGTTTCCTGAAGAGAGGTGCCTGTGAACACTGGACTCCAAGTCATAAGAGCCACAATTGTACTCTCGCTGACTAAGGTTCCTGGGCACTGGTGTCCCTAAGAAGCAGTGCTTGGGGAGCTGAGAGACGCTCAGGGACTCTGGTCTCAGCCTGCCGTCCTGAGCTGGCAGGCACTGAGGTAACTGGCCGTCCGCTGTCTGTAGAGAACTGCATGATCTTGGGTGGGTCTGGACAAGTCCAGGTGGTGGTCTCTGGTCAGACATTCTGTACCTGGCTCTGGAGTCGACCTCCTCTCTGTGCCCACAGGTTTCCAGGTAGCCCTCTCTCATCTTCCTGAAACAAGTCTTTGGCTCTAAGCCTCTGGCTTTCTGCACTTTAATGTAATCTTCAAGCTCATCTTGAAAAGAGTCATATGACTTTGAATGCTTCATTAGGTTGGCAAAAAGGGATTCTCTGTAGAAGAGATGGAAGAAAATCCTTACTAGATAATTTTGTTCTGAATATTTCCTTTGCTCTTGAAAAGAGCTTTGAAAAACAAAGAAGCCTAAACAAATTAAAACTTCCTTCATCATAAATGTTAAACGTTATGACAATATAGGCCAAAGAGTGGCATCAGCATGGTCACATACCTCCCAGGCCACTCAGGGGGACCTTCACCCTCTCCACCATGGAAGGAAGAGGCAGAGRGGGCTGACAGGAGACCTGTCACAGGACTGAGATGAAGACACACACGGATGTGTAGGGAAGAACCACGAGTGGTGGCCCCCTCTGAAGGGTTAGATAGTTTCTAAAGCTCTATTAATCAGTTTCCTGTATGTGTTTTCTCAGAAAAGTCCTAGAACCACTGAGAAGTAGTCTGATCTTTAACATGTTCAATTTACTCAAACAAAATAAACACACATACTCACCTGACTACGTACTGTAAGGCTTAATAATAAAAGGATGACTAATCACAAATTAAAAAAAAGTATATATGAAAATAAAATAAAAGGATGTTTGTGAAACAGTTTGGGGATGCTGGAAATCAGAAATTCAGCTCTAAACTACTCGGGTATAGGGCTTGAAGGCATATGAGGGAACAGAGTTCTGTTTCTCCTGCCCAGCGCTAGGGTTTCATTCCGTTACTTCTGATTGGTGGGAAAAGCATTCTAGAATACCTTCTGGTTTGTTCTCTCAAAGTACTGATGTGAGGGCTGAGGGAGGAAACCGAGGAGACGGCACTTGGGGACACCTGGTGTAGAGAGTGTCAGGAGGAACGTAGGAGGGGATTGTCTGTGGTCCTGGTGATGGAGCACAGGGCCTGGAGCAGGCCAGGAAGGCAGGCAGGCTTCTCACACTGAGCCACGTGCCCAGCCCTAGTCTGTTTTCACTGAGACAGGGCTCACCAGGCTGCAGGAGGCCCCACCCTGTGGTCTCCTGCCCTGGCCTCCAGGTAGCTGCATCTCAGGCCTGCTTGGCTGTGTGTAATTCATGCTGTTTTTCTGCTTGCTTGTCAGATTCTTTTTGCAGGGGAGAGGGAACAAGCAACAGGATTCCTGATTCTCTCTCTTCTCCCACCTCAAGCCCTGATTAAGCAGCAGAAAGTACACTAGGGAATGATAATGCCCTGGGTGTTATCAGTGAGGTTTCACCTGTAAGGCAGGAGGCAGCAGCAACCCTGTGCAGAGCTGCATTTCCCCTTTCACAAGAGCAAGYTGCACAGCACTCTAGAGTCACTGCTGACCAGCTCTTCTCTTGCCAATGAAATCCACTTTTCTCTAAATGAAACCCAATTGGGTGAGTTACAAAAATCAGCTCCTATTCCATGTAAATAGCACAAAAGTTCTGACTAGGATAATAAAATAACAAATGGTTAAATATAGGCAAAATATTTTAAGAAATATTTCTGAAAAGAATAAATAGAAATGGCCAATAAACACATGAAAAAGATGTTGAAGATCATTATCATCAAGAAAATGTAAACTATGTAAAGACAAACCTCACCATTATGTACCCCTATAATGCACCAATAGAAAATACAGGAAAAAAAAATAAAAAGAAAATGTGAACTAAGCTGGGGCAGTGGCCCACGCCTATTGAAAGGTTAATAAAATAGGTACTTGTCACTCCGTTTTTCTATATGCTTAACAAAACACTGTTGAAATCTTAAGTGCCAAACTGCAAAATGTAACTTCCCTCCCTGCCCTCTCCAAGGAAAGTATATAAGCTCTGCTTAAGCTGTTCTCAGGGCTCTCTCTCTTTGCTCTATTCAAGTGAGCTCTGAGCCCCAGAATGCTGGTCCCCTTTGCTGGTGCATGAGACAGTCTCTTGGTGGTCTCTTCCTCCGACATTTCGCCGGTCCCTTACATTTGGTGCATTGGCCGGGAACTGCGCATCGCCGGACAAGGAGACCCCAACAGACTCCTTTAGGGGGTAAGTAAGGCGCCTCTCCTTCTTCTCCTTCTTGTTTTTCCTTTGCCATCGCTCAGAGCTAATTTGGTTCAGGTTTGGTTTTTGGCTTGAGTTTGGTTTTTGGTTTGGGTTGGCAGAGTGTGGTTACCAGCGGAGAGCATGAGCTCCCCCTGGCGGTGGTGGACAGATGTGTCCTGAAGCCACAGGACACGTCCTTCAAGGGATGCCTTGGAGGACTCGGGGAGGGACGGAAGCGCCCTCATCTGGTAGAGGGACGGAAGCGCCCTCGTTGGGTATATTTTGCTGCCAAACCGTCTGGTCTTGCGGCAATTCTTTCTCTCAGGTTGTTGAATTCACTGTCTGTTTTTAATCTTTGCCTCTAAACTTGTGTTACACGTTTACTGTGTGTGTCGTGTTTGTGTCACGTTTGTATTGTCCCTGTCTTTGTTCAAGACTTTCATTATGGGACAAAGCCATTCCACGCCTCTGTCCCTGACCCTTGATCACTGGACTGAAGTCCACTTAAGGGCTCAGAATCTTTCTTTTTCAGTAAAACGCCGGACCTGGCAGACTCTTTGTGCCTCAGAATGGCCCACCTTTGGAGTCGGGTGGCCCCCAGAAGGATCTTTCTACATCCCACTAATTTAAAAAGTCAGAGATATTGTCTTTGTCTTTCAGCCGGGACCACATAGCCATCCAGATCAACAGCCATATATCTTAACTTGGCAGGACCTCTGCAAATCTCCTCCTCCATGGGTGAAGCCTTTCCTTGTCCCTGCCCCCGCTCCTACTCCTTCCCCCACGATTCTGTCTCTCAAACCCTCTGCTCCTCCTCCTCCTCCACCCTCTGTTCTCCCTAAATCTCAAGATTTGACTCTACTGGACTCTCCTCCCCCTCCTTATCCCCTGCCCTCGTTCCCCAACCCCCAACACCCTCTAAGTGATTCCCCTGCTGCTGACTCAGCCTCTCCACCATTGGAGGAAGCTAAGCCAGCCCAGTGCCCTCCAGATGACTCCCCCACAGCACACACAGCCCCTCCTCCCCTGGAGGAAACTGGCTCAACTAAAAGAACTGAAAAAAACTCAATGGCGTTTTCACACCAGCCTACTTGGGATGACTGCCAACAACTCCTAGGGACTCTCTTCATGACAGAGGAACAAAAGAGAATCCTCCTGGAAGCTAGGAAAAAAATATCCTCGGACCAGATGGGCGACCGACACAACTTCCCAACATAATCGAAGCCGACTTCCCCTTGAACCGACCCAACTGGGACCCCAACACCTTTGAAGGTAGRGAGCATCTGTCCACTTATCGCCGAGCTCTAATAGCAGGTGTCCGAGCAGCCACTAGATGGCCAACTAATTTGGCCAATGTAAGAGAGATTATTCAAGGGCCTAATGAATCTCCCTCTATGTTTCTGGAGAGAATTATGGAGGCATATAGGAGAGATACTCCTTTTGATCCTCAGGCAGAGGATCAAAAGGCATCTGTTATGATGGCCTTTATTGGGCAAGCTGCCCTGGATATTAAAATAAAGTTACAACGCTTAGATGGATTACAAGATATGACTTTGAGAGATTTAGTCAGAGAAGCCAAGAAGGTATACCTTAAGAGAGAAACTGAGGAAGAGAAGGGAGCAAAGGGAGGATGAAAGAAGCAAAAGACAGACTAAGGCATTGACTAAGGTCCTGGTCACAACAACAAATAGGCCAGAAATTAAGAGGCAGGGAGACAGAAAGGGATACCTGGGCCCATGCCAGAAGCCACCTCTGGCCTCAGATCAATGTGCCTACTGTAGAGAAAAAGGACACTGGGCCAAAGAGTGCCCTAGAAAGAAACAGCCACGCCAGTTAGCCATTCTAACTCTAGAGAATGACTAGGAAAGTCGGGGCTCGGATCCCCTCCCCGAGCTCAAGGTAACTTTTGAAGTGGAGGGGACCTCAGTAAACTTTGAAGTGGATACAGGGGCAATATACTCAGCCCTTAAGGCCCCATTGGGCCCTCTATCAACTAAAAGGTCTCTAGTTCAAGGGGCTAACGGCAGTAAATATCGGGCTTGGATAACTAAGAGGACCATGGACCTGGGGAAAGGAAAAGTCCATCACTCCTTCCTAGTGATCCCAGAATGCCCAGCCCCATTGATGGGCAGAGATCTGCTCACCAAACTCYGGGCCARAATAACTTTTAACCCTGAAGDCCCCCAAATGRAATTTCTAAATCCTTCAGTAAAAACTCCTATAGTCATGGCTTTAACTATGTYAGTARAAGATGAACATCAACTCTTCACACCCCCCAAGACTGATCAAACAGGCAAGCTATCCCAGAAATGGATAACAGATTACCCAGATGCCTGGGCAGAAACTGCTAAGTTAGGCCTAGCCGTAAAACAACCTCCAATAACAGTGGAGTTAAAAACCTCAGCCTCCCCAATTAATATTAAACAATATCCTCTGAACAAAGAAGCTAAAGATGGGATAAGGCCCCATATTCAGAAATATCTGGCCTTGGGGTCCTAAGGCCCTGTCAATTGGCCTGGAACACTCTCCTGCTACCAGTAAAAAAGCCAGGAACCGGGAACTATCGCCCCATTCAAGACCTAAGAGAGATCAACAACAGAGTGCAGGACATTCACCCCACAGTACCTAATCTGTACAATCTGCTTAGCACCCTGAACCCTGAGCAAAAATGGTATACTGTTCTGGACTTACAAGATGCTTTCTTTTGCTTGCCTGTGCATAAAGATACTCAGTTGCTGTTTGCTTTCGAATGGGTAAACCCAGAAACCGGAACGTCTGATCAACTAACTTGGACCAGATTCCTACAGGGGTTCAAAAACTCCCCCACTCTCTTTGATGAAGCCCTCCATAGAGATCTCAATAACTTCAGAACTATGCACCCCGAAGTTACCCTGTTTCAATATGTGGATGACCTGCTACTGGCAACCGAAAACTATACATTTTCAGGATGGATTGAAGCCTTCCCCACAAAAAAAGAAACGGCGCAAATGGTGGTCAAGAAGATCCTGGAAGATATTTTTTCCAAGATACGGCCTGCCTAAGGTAACAGGGTCTGATAATGGACCGGCGTTCGTGGCCCAGGTAAGTCAGGGGTTAACCAGGACCCTGGGGATTAATTGAAAGTTACATTGTGCTTATAGACCCCAGAGCTCAGGACAGATAAAAAAAATAAATAGAACCATTAAAGAGACCTTAACGAAATTAAGCTTGGAGACTGGCATAAAAGATTGGACTATGCTCCTGCCTTATGCACTGTTTCATACAAGAAATACTCCCTCTGTTTCTTTGTGTAACCTCACCCCCTACGAAATTCTCTATGGTGCCCCTCCTCCAGTAAGGGACCTAACCCCAACTCTAAGACCTAACAATCCCTTCCACACCCCTTTGCTTGACAGACTTAAAGCTCTTGAAAAAACTCAGTGATACCTGTGGAAACAGCTGGCCACTGCCTACCAACCTGGGGACGAAGGAACTCCACACCGATATCAAGTGGGAAACTTCTTCTACATAAGACGACATCAGGTGTCATCCCTGGAACCCCGCTGGAAAGGACCATACCAGGTGCTACTTATAACACTTACAGCGGTAAAGGTAAACGGAATCACTTCCTGGATCCATGCCTCTTATCTCAAGCCTGCGCCCTGTCCAGACTCTGGCTGGAAATTGAAAAGACTGGTAACCCTCTCAAATTGCGTATTCGCCGTGTGGATAGGGCTATGGACTCTCCCCTTGACCACCAGTAGTCCTAACCCTCATCAGCCCGTTCAGAAGCGATGGCTGATCACAAATCCTACTGGACAGGAAGTATGGTCTATCTCGAATACAGCCCCCTTAGGGACCTGGTGGCCATCTCTCCACCCAGACATTTGTCAGCTGGCTATAGGTCTTTCCTATTGGGATATCCCTGATGAAGAGGATCCCACTAAAATTCCATTAAATCCCTTCCATACCATAGATAATAGAAACAAACATTATGGATGTAGGGACACGCGAGCCAGATGCAGGTTGGCTAACCTAGATTACTATGTTTGCCCGGCGGACTATCAAAGCCACAAACAGTCATGACTGTGTGGGGGAAAAACCGACTTCTTCTGTAAGTCATAAGGATGTAAACATACAGGGGCTATCTGATGGAACCCAAACCTCCGCCGGTTCTCAGACCATTGCCCCCTTGCTGAAGTAACAGGTACTGAGGTATCTCTCCACCMATTCACTCCTCTCTTCTCCTGTCAGTGCCCACACCGGGTCCCACCAGGTCCTCTTACCAGCTAACCCAAAGCTCAAACCAGCTGAGGAGAGCCCTCAGACCCCTATCCGAGATGTAATGAAAATGGCCTTTAATGTTGCCTTGTCATCACTGAAAACAGGTTACTAAAAATTTAAAGTCCCTCACAGGCTTTTTGGGATACTCACTCCAGTCTTCCCCTCTGCTATACCTGTTCTACTACTCAAATTTTTGTTGCTAGGAAAATCCCAAACCCCTTTCCCATTATTCTTTTACATCTCTCCTTCCTCATTCTCAGATCCACGGAGCTGCTCTCAGCACTGCCTTCCCCGTCCTCCCCCTCTATACCAGGCCCACAGAAAAGTCTTAACTGACCTTCTCCAGAAGTCTTCACCATGGCTGACTTTAGGACTTTCAGCAAAAGAGTCCCTATAAAAGAGTTCAGTATAGATAAACTTCCTCTTTTTTTCATGTTGCCCTGTTCTTCTTGGCCACTGGCTGGAAAAATCAGCACTCCTAAGCTAGACACCCCCTTACTAGGTTTTCACAAAATATGTGAACAAGGCCTCTGCCCTTGAGCTGGGGCTTCACAGAGATGGCTACATTTCTAAGATAAAAAAGTTATCAACTGGGCTCCATGGTAACAGCTGGCAAGGGGGAAAAAAAAGTTCTCCCCCTCCCAGGTGTCCTTAAAAAGTTAACTTGCCCAGAACAGAGAAAAAAAAAACAGAAACAAAAACTGCTTTTTGTGAACTTCTGCAGACTATAAACATCTGAGCCCCTTCCCTTACATATTGAGTACAAAATTCTGAAACTACCTACTCTTGGGGTTCAGGGGATTAATTGATTACAACAGAAGCAATGCCCTCTAAATCCGGTTGCAACCAAATAGGACTGTTTCCCTGTCTTCAGTGCTATCTTAGGTGCCTTGCCTTGTCCGTCCCTACAACAGTATAACTTAAACATTATTTATGTTTTCATAAAATGGTCAACAGATGTGATTAATTGTATAATGGTGCAGATGTTTCCCAGAGTGCTCTATCATGAYGCAGGTTCATTTAAAGATCAAATAAGGGGACATACAACCTGGTTCCGCTGGGAACCTGTATCCCTCACTTTAGCCATCTTATTAGGAATGAGAATTGCTGCAGAGGTGGACACAAGAACCACTGCCCTGGTCCGTGGGACACAACAAATGACCCAATTAGAAACAGCAATGGACCAAAACTTAAAGATATTAAAAACCTCCATCACAGCTTTGCAGGAATCTTTAACCTCTCTCTCTAAAGTTGTTTTACAGAACAGGCGAGGGTTGGACCTCCTCTTCATGAGAGAAAAAAGCCTTTGTGCTGCATTGAGGAAATAATGTTGTTTTTATGCCAACCATACTGGAGTTGTAAAAAAATCTACAAATAAATTAAAAAGACGCCTTTAAGAGCGTCAACGAGAGAGAGAAACCCAAAAAGGGTGGTATGGGTCTTGGTTCACATAGTCCCCCTGGTTAACTATGCTTTTACCAGCCCTGGCCGGTCCTTTAATAATTCTTATATTGTTGCTAACTCTAGGACCCTGTTTGCTCAACCGTGTAGTTTCCTTTCTCCAAGCCCAAATTGGACAAGTCAAACTTATGGTAATCAGACAACAATATACCCCACTAGCAGACATA